GGCAAGGTGCCAACTACACCTTTATTTTCAAGGTGGCCTGAACAGAGCGTTTTAGGGCAGCAAACCCTGGTCTCAGGCCACCTTGACTTTAGCTTGAAAACCACAGCTTTGAAGCCTCATGCGCGCCATACCAGAACTGTAGCTACTTGTAGCTACCCTGGGTCCGTATAAATAGTATGTTGCTATACCTCTTACACACCTATACAAGTTCAAAGCACGAATGAGACTTCAAGGCTGTGGATTGCTGTGCGTGTGTAGAGGTTCTCAAGCGGTTGACGGAAAGGGAACTTGAAGTACTATACCTGGTAGCTGCACTATAGCTACCCTAGGTCTCTCTACCTTGCAAGGTGCCAACTACACCTTTCCATTCAGATGATGCAAATGATGCATTTGGCATTTCTTGCATCACCACCCCTCAAAAATCACCTCCAACACAACCTCAAAAAACCTTCCCTCGGAGCACCCTCCTCCCCCAGCATGTGCTGAGTTGACGTATACCTTTCTCGGGCCACCCCCCCAGACCCCCTAACTACTCACTTCGTTCGCCAGACACAACTCCGCTAGCGCCTTCTACGAAGGCTGGCTTTCGTAATGAAGCCCAGCCGCAACAGGAAAAATACAAACATAGTTTACACATAGTTTACTAGTATAACTTTCAGTATCCATATCTTCTGGTCCATGGTCCATGGTGAAACTGATTCTTCGATCCACCCTTTTCTCACGCCATCTCTTTGAGAGCTGATCTCTTGTCACGTGCCAATATACTAATATACTAAGAACTCTCATGGTTTTCATGGTTCAAACTCTCATGATCCAAACAGAATCCCTACGATGGCATTAGAGACCTCAATCCGCACGATTCTGGCGGTCTCTCTGCACCTCGCACCCGCGCGCCGGGCGCGCGCGCTCAGCGCCTGTGAGGTGTGAAGAAGGCTCGGCCCACGGCACCCAGCCAAGCCAGGCCCGGCAAGCGGCCTTCGCCCGAGGACCTCGACGAGAGAAGGACTTAAAATGACTCCTGGGTGGGTCTGTTTTGCGTTTCTGGGGTGCAAATGACCCCATCAACATCCCTTTATTTGTTGCGCTTTAATAGATGATGTAAACATATGTAAACCAACCTCCCAAGCCCAAGCGCCCACTCGCTCTCACTGGATCCCAAGCGGCCATGACTCAGTGGCGAAGCTCAGCGCCACTTGCCGGATCTGTTGCCTCTGGTGCCTGGGAATCTGACACGGATTGATGGGGACCGAGGACATCTTCCATGGGATGGAGGTAGTCATATCATATCACGTGTGTCTGATCAGCAGAAATCCATATATAAACCATAACACGGCCAGGCCCATCCCAGACACTCCATGTATGCCATATATGCCTACATTGACCCCCCTGGCACTACCCCAACTGATTGGCAAATATATGCAAATTATGGCAGTCCCATTAGTCGTGTCTGGGCATTGGATCCAAGGAACCTGATTCCATAGGGAACATGCCTGCGACGGAAAAACAAAAACACACCGAATCGGCCCAGTGTCAAGGAGGGGTTGAAACTCGACCCTCATCGACCCGTCCGCGATCCGTTCGACCTCCCATCGCGAGGAATCAAAACACGTGGTTGGCGCATGACCTGCCCTGAACCGGGCTGTGGCATGGACTGTCCGTTTTTTCAACACGTGGGGCGGCCCTGGGACCCATCCTACTGTGTGGCCTGTTGGCGGATGGAGGCGACGTGGTCTTCATCAACGACAGGAGCGTGGACGCTCCTGGGAAGCCTGACGCGATGGAGAGTCGGCGCGGAGACCCCACGCGACGAAGAGAAATGCCGGTCCATGGCCGTGAGCTACAAAGGAGGGAGGAGGATTTTTGTTTAACCTGCCAGTTGGAGGCTGATGATGGCTATTGTGCCACAGCCTGTGGCAGTGGAGATGAGAGACCTTTGTGGTAGTGTGGTAGTTTGGCTAGAAGAACTACCCAATTGTATCCTCATGATTCCTCATGTATCCTGTGAATCCTGGTTTCTGGAGACCGACCTCAGGAATCCACGCGGCGTGTGCGTTTTCGCAGGGCCTGGTCTTTGTCTTCCCTCAGGATCATGACATCGAGCCACACATGAAGCCCACCTGGGTGCAGTCTCAAGACATGCTTCTGGTGCTCAGCAGAGTGCCAGAAGCAACAGGATGCAACAGGTATGGCGTTTAACGCCAATTCAGTTGGATTGGAGTCGCACCCAACTGGGACTGGGCCTCCCAACCCTGCTTGCAGCAACAGCCTGCAACAAAAGAACGGCAAAAAGCACCCGAATGCACTTGATGAAAGCGATTCGTCCATCAAATCCACACTCAAACGGCTCATGGCCCATGTTCAAAGCAAAACACGGTGAACCCCGTTTGCCCTCCAAGTGAGAAAAATGTGAAAGATTCTCACACAAAAGCAACATGGTATAACATAGTTGGATTCCTGAAAAGGCAAAACTTCTGTGATGGGTGATGATGGGTAGCTGTATTTCCTGCTCTCATCTGCTCTGCTGCCTTCTCGTCTGATCCGAAGAAGTAATCGCCTCCAGACAGCATCAGGCCAGTCTGTGTGAATTTACGCATCATGAACTCCTGAATGGACTGCCACCGCAGTCCAAGCCGCCCATAAACGGAACACCCCCTAAAAAAGCACCGCAAAACAATTTGCTGCCCGGCTCTGACGCTTCAAAACGGTGCCTCAGCAATCTCTAAATCGTCGATCTGCTTCCAAATGGCCTCCAAAGCCGGAATGTCATAAATGTGACTCAAAGCAAGACATGGAAGTGTGAAAAAAGATGAAAAAAGCTACCACTAGTCTACCACTCTCAAGTCATGCCAGCCTTGAGATGTCATGTTAGAATGTGTTTGATGTTGATTGAGAAACAAAACAACTGGATCATCTGGATGCATCAACATTTGGAGGTCGATCTTCTTTGTTGACTCGGGGCCACCGTGAAACCCATCACATCGTGCAAAGGGGGGGCACTGTCTCGCGAACCGCACACTGTCTTCGACGCCTCGGCCGTCTGGAGGTCGATGACTCCCAAATATCCGGCAGCACTGGCCATCTTCGCCAGCACCTCCAAGGATTTGGTGTCTGAAGAGTCTTCAGCTGCCCCAGGTTCTGCAGCTTGAGCTGTTTGACAGGTCCTCCAGGCTTTGCACAAACTGCTGGCAAAGGGTCTTGCTTCCAGCAAGAGTGCGTCATTTTCCAAGCTGTTGAGCTGCAAGAGCTGCAAAAGCTTCGGGATCAAAGATTTCGGCACGTGAGCTGCCAGCTCTTCCAGACCCTCGTGCTTCGCAGGCAGCTTCCGGAGGATGTTCAAGACCAAGGACCAGCGGCCGGCTGAGCCAGCCTTGGCGAGGAAGAACAACAAGGAAAGTCGCCAGTGGTCACTGGCTTCCTCCTCCATCCATTCCTCATCCGTCTTGGGTGCGCCCACTGCATCCAAGACCTATAGGGAAGCGAGCTTCCACGAGCAAGCGCCAAACAAAGAATGTGCGACATGTTGATGAACATTTGCACGATTTTGCACGGAGATCCCTGCATGAACCATGAAATACCCAAAGTTTCGGGGAGTATGCCCTCCCAGGTCATGTGTCCATGTATGTCCATGCCATATATGGGGAAAAAAAACAACATGCAAGAGCGCACCTCAATCAACACTGATAGGACTCCGGATGAAGTTCTCATGGAGACGGTGGAGTGTGATAACAAAGACCATCCACAGCTATTAACATGGACCTCGATAGTGTAGATTTAGGTCTGGGTGGTTTCAGGCCAGGAGTTGTGGAGTCGGGGCACCGCTTCTGCTGTGACCAAAGAAAGATTTCAACATGTATATAGGTGATTACAGGTGTTCCATGATAGAAACAAGCGGATCCCTGAATCCTCCGTGCGGTTAGGGAGATCGAACATCCCCAGCATCCCCGTGTGTTGGTTGGATCTGGAAGTCTGTGAAGGGATGCTGGAGGTCAAAACACCCAAACCACACCCATATCTCAGTGATTTGGATCGACATTAGAACCTTCAGGGTTTACCCCCACAGCTTAAACAATTCAGCCTCCAACTGGTACTTGTTAACATGGCCTGGATCCCTGGGTGTGTCAGGTAAAACGACCAGGGCCCTACAACCCCACAGGTTTTGGCCTGAGCCCAAGGTTCTGTGTTTGGCAAAAAGGTCCTGCCCCGTCCATGCCTCAAAGCCTCAAAGCCTAATTCCTCACGTGTCTGCCGGGACCTCCCCACCTTCCGGTAGAAGTCGCTGTGTCCGACGTCGGCCGCCGCCAAGGCCACTGCCAGGCGAATCAGCAAGGCTTCCTCGGCCTCGGTGGGCAGCTGCTGCAGCGCGCGGAGGATTTGTGCCCCCAGCGACCTCCACGGTTGCAGCGGGTGGGGAGGTGGGGAGACCCTGAGAGCAGGTGTGTTGGGTGGGGGGAGAAAAAGACTATGCTTTTTTTTTTTCGATGACATGAAGGATATGGTCAAAGGGATAGGGAGATGCCAAAATGGCGGTGATTGATGGATGAAAAGGAAAACACTTCAAACAAATCGGACGTAGGCAGAACATGGCAGAACACCCTTCCATCTGTGAACCCGCCTTTGAATTCAAGACACACCACCACACATTCATATTGATTACCCTCCAGGGCACGCGGACAGCTGACCAGAAGAGGCCAGTGCAGTCACCACTTCCTGCCATCTCGCTGGTGCGAGGGTCGGGTCATCGTTTCATCATGTTCAGACATTTTCAGACAATCTTACCAGCTGGAAGTGCTGTGTTGCTTTGAGATCTCACCCAGTTGTGACATGTTGTGACTGTTGCCGGTCACTCTTCAACATCATCGCTCTTATTATTTCACCAATAGCATCTCACCAAGCACAGGTCGTTTAGTGTGAGGTCTGATCGGAACGTGTCTGGCCGTTGGCTGGAGCGACGACGACCGGGCCATCGGCTTGCGACACAGTGTGGTGAGATCTGTTTTAACTGAGGGATGCTTTGAACACAAGACATATAATTGAAACATTTAGACAGCAAAGGGGCTCCGTGCTCAACGTCCCCACATCAGGTCCGTCCGCTCTCCGTTGCGTCCCGTCCGCTGTTCCACGCGTGGCCGTGGAACAGCCCAAGGCGATCCTGTAGGTCTCGCAACTGCAGCTGGCCCAAGTGATCGCCTTCTTCGAGCCATTGTCCCACAGACTCCGCAAAGGCCTCGTGCTGCACCCCGCAGGCGGCCATGTAGCGGAAGAGCATCAGCCACTCGGAGACCAGCAAGTGATTCACATAGCTGGCGGAATCCTGGCGAAAAGCCTGCAACCAAACGGACAATGGGAGTGCCTATATACGGTTTGTGTTTTTCTTTGCGATTCGGGTCGATTCGGGAACAATGGTCGGATTCGTCAGGGGATGACCATGTCCCTTTCTACCTTGGAACATGGGTGTTGAGTAGGACTGCTCGCGAAGCGCGACGCGGGGCGGGCTACATGGTGTGTACATTGGTGTGTGGCATGTGTGTACCAGAATGGGGAGATGATATGCAGCAGCTGGGTTTTGGTCGCCACATGGGCGGTCGAATTGGGTCCGGTCCCGATCCGTCGAATGATCTGTTTACACCCATCGTTGCCCATCGTTCCCGGTGGGTGTTTCACCCAGAAGAGGGATTTGCGTACCGCTGGATGTTGGTTTATTGAGTCCTACATGGTGTTTCTTCCCCCATCCTTGCCCAAAGCTCTTTTTCGCCTCACAAACCTCCTGGGAGAACCAGTTGAGGCGTTCCAGTCGAAAGGCCAAGAGCGCGTGCTGGCGGAAGCTCAAGGCCTGCGGGCCGGTGAGATGACGGTACTTCGGCCTGGGTGATATAAGGAGGTGGCAAATTCAATTAGTTTAAGGGACAATGGGACAATCTGCAGGACACCCACAGTTTGGGGCTGAATCACACCATGATTTCCTGTAGTGTTTTTTTTCCTAATTCAAGTTGTTTAAGGAAAAATCTGCAGGATGCCCACAGTTTTGGGGGGTGAACACCATGGTGTAGATGTTTTTCCCTTGAGCCAAATAATATTTAATGATATTTAATGCATGTTTCTTGATGCATTATTTCATCTTCGAGGGGCGAGCATCGACTTTCAGGTGTCCATCCAGTGCTTACACGATCAAACATCTTTTCCACGAAATGGGCTGATGTTTTCCAGAACCCAAAAGTTGGTACATGTTGAAGTATAGACGTATGATTACGAATGCATATATCGATATCCTGCAACTTCGTGGTTGCTGTTTTTTGGTCGGTAGTTAGTTCAACATACATACCTGGTCCGTGAACCGCAAAAACATCCGCAACCAAAATAAACATCCGCTCACAAAACACGTTCGGGAAAAAAACGCCTGTGGCTCACCAATAAACGCCCGTGGAATATCAGAAAACATCAGAAAACTAGAGAAACATCCGATCGACTCAAATATAAGGCTGTGACTCCAAAAGATGTTTTTCACGCCGCAGATCGATAAAAAGCACTCTGAGGAAGTTCCAGATGTAATTTGTTCGCCTGCTGCAAGTCTTGTTACTTCACTCAGCTGTATCAAATCTCGTCCAGTAATTAGTTGCTACTCCAACCAAGAAACTAACGCCAGGCCACCAGATCAGATCTTGAGTGAGATGTGAACACTTCCCCATCTTCCCCCCCAAAAGAAGTAAATCAACTGTCTCAAGGATCCCTCAAGGTTCCTTGCTGTCCACGGTCTCCACTCCTCCTGGTCCCATCGCCCATCGCACCTGGCCCCGGCAGAGCTCCGCGCCGCGCAGGGCCAGTGACGCCACGTGGCGTGGGTCCGGCGGCGGGTTCGTTCCGGGTGCCAAGCAGCGCAGCTGGGAGAAGAGCTCCTGGGAGTGCAGATCGTCTTGTGGGAGTGCAAGCTGCTCCTGGGGACCCCCGGACGATCATACAAATCAGAATGATTTCGCTTTTTGCGCTCATGCAAATACTTGGATGTTTTATGAGGAGGAGGGTGGAGCAGGTGGAATAAAGACATGGAGATGTTGGGTAGGATTCGTTGTTCATTTCAGGATTTCTCATGTGGATGTTCATTCTTGCTAAGTTGCTCCAGCCAAGGCCAGCCATTCTTTGCGACCCCCGGTTTCACGCTTCGTCCACTCCCCACGAGCCGCGTCGGTCTTTGCCTCTCCTGCGCTGTGAGGCCCGACCCTTCGGCCGCCATGAAGGCGAAGCGGCGACGGAGGGAGGCCGTGAAGGCCATGGCGACACGGTGCGCAAGGGAGGCCACATGGCACGTCTGCGACCCAGTCTGCGATCCCCATGATCTGCAGAGGGGTGCGGGTGGGTGAGTTTGTCGATGTCGCTGCAACCAGCGGGGGTTTCGTGGCGAGTCTTGGGGTGCTGAAAGGAGGTGAAGAGGGGGGTTGAAGGCCCAAGATCGTGGTGAAAGCAATGGCCTGGAATGGACCTACACATGACCAAATCATACCAAACCCAAGAACCCTGGCCTTAACTGTAGGAGGTTTGGGAGTCAGTTTGGATCCACTGTAGCACCGCGCTATGGCTAAGGAGACGTACATAGATGGTCTTTTTGTTGTGCGGAGATGTCATGTGAGTCGAAACCGCCTTGCAAACTGCTAGCTGCCAACCTCAGCATGTTCATCTGCCAGTGTCTGGTGCCTCTAGTTTTGACTCACATTAATGTAGTCAAAGCCGAATGAATAGTAATAGGCCGTGCAGTGAGATGTAATTGTGTCCTTGCTTCACTATGTTGCCGAGGTGAAAGTAAAACACTCTCCATCAGTCTCCAAAACGCATCGTGCAAATCAATCAACATCTTTTGTTGGAGTCAAGTAAATGTTCTTTTGTGTTCCATGTCACTCCAAATGTTCGACTCCAAATTGGATCCAAAGGATTCGTCCTCGTATTGCGTCAGGCCGTTCACGTCCAAAAGTGCGTACGCAGAAAAGTCGGGAAGTCAAGCAGTTGAATAGAGCCCATAAATGGAGAGGCACGGACAAAGACACAAACCTCCCAAATTTGTGCAAAAAAAACGATAAAATACGACTAAGTCTAGCTTGCAGCCAAACATTGCAAGGCCCCATATTATGTCAAACTCTTGCTTGAATGAGATCTGAGATCCCTGCTAGAAGGGCTAGGTGTATTTTGCACAGCTTGTTCAAAACTCCCATTTTCGACTCTGTTGATGACAGTGCCAAAAAGCAAGCACAGCGACAAATCCAAGCAAAACAGCCAGCAACAGCCTCCGATCATCGCCTATCTGGTTTAACCCCAATCGTCATGCCTTTATCCTGATTATGAAGAAAATATGCAATTAGTAGATGTACAATAGATTATTAACGTATCCTTTTTGTGCCGTTAGCACCCTCCTGGTGCTAAACTTGGCGATCCGCACCTGCCAGCGTCCGTTCTGCATAACCTGTTTGGGGACCGTTCCGGTCCCAAACACGGCGGGGTAGCACCCGGTCCCGGTGACGTCATTACAGTCTGAGTCTGGTCTGAATTGCATTATAGAAGTCTCCCACAGATGGTCAGTGGGACGAACTAGCTGCCGCAAAGGCAATCAATCGCATGAGCATCAGTCTATCCACAAGGATTGGGAATATGCCGCATCCTGCTCTTTCTGACACTGCAAGCAACGTATTGAGTGATTCTCCTGGCATCTCTTGGCGTCACCCTGGATTCAGAGTTCAAAAAACAGAACTCATTGGGGCAAACACATGTGCAACTGTGCAAACACTTTAGGGGCCGGATGCAAGGGCCGAGTCTGAGCAGCGGTACTATGTACCATGATGTACTTTATTATTGTACTTACTGCTTCTCCATTAGATCCTTCGTGACCACGAATCTCTGGCATTCTTGCTGAATTGGGGCCTCTGTGCCAATATCCTCCAATATCCACCATGCTTCTTGCTACTAGCAAATTTAGCTACATGTACCTCCCAAAAAACGATGCCCTTGTTACTAGTAGCGATGCACAAAATTCGTCCAAATCCATGGCGACCCATCCACCGGTCGACCCAGCGGTCGACGGTTCCTCTACCGGCCTTCGCTCTTCTGCGCCACGTCCGAGCAACGGGTCATGGGCACCGGTGCCGCCACGGTGGCCTCGACGGATGGAGGGGCGGATGGAGAGGCTGGAAGGGGCTGGGAGGTTAGCGTTCAGAAGGTAATTGGACCCTCCACGGCTACACAAAAAGTCTCCAATCACCTTCTCAGAAGGTATGTGGATCCATAGGGTATAGATATCCAAAAAGTGTAATTTGTAATATATATAAATATATATACATGTACAATCTAAATCAATCAGGGTTTCTGGATGTTTCTTGGACTGATTAATGGTGATTGAGGGGCCAACTGTTGAAGCGCGTGGGCCTAGAACGGTGGTGGTTGGGGGATTAATATGATTGGCTCGCAACCTGTGTTCTAAACCAAATGTTAAGTTAATTCATTCTCCAGCATTCAAAGTTGGAGGTATGAACATGGCACTTGTTGTATAGAACTGCACAGCATCATATATAGTATGTTGCTGTAGGTTGCTGTATGTATCTGAACACTTCCAAAAAGAAACTTGTGTTCCTCCAAAGCTCTGACTGAAGAGGCTGCCCGAAAGAATTCTCTACAAATCCTCCAAATCTTCCGCCTTCGAGTCTCAACCTCGGCGCCGTGGCGAAGAAATGAATCGTTGGTGGGCTGTCTGCCTCTTTAAAGTATAACCCTCCATGAAACTAACACGAGCTTGCCAGGTGTGGTCCTACTGTGTGGGTAGTGTCTTCCTTGAGTTGTTCACATCAAGTGCCATTCTCATGAGTCATGCAAATCTTCTATCAAAGCCACGACAATGCATGCACGATAGGAAGGAAGAACAAAGGTGATTTTTCTTATCTGGCCATTTTCTCCTTCAGCCTCAAAGAATGTTTGCCAAAGGTCCTCAAAAAATGCGGGCATAAAGCCACCGCAAGCTAAGTTGACACTTCAAAACTTGAACGTTTGATTGCGTCGGGGCAAATGGGTAGCAAGCAAGAACGCAATTCGTCTTGATCCTCGCGATGAAAGGATATGCACTTTGCTTCTTTCTTCAAGTTCTCGAGAACTTCGACCGATGAGAAGGCGTCTGCCACCGCACAAGTACACAACCTTGACGCAAAGTCTTGCGCTTGGCTGTCTTCCATTTTGAGAGCAAATACAGGTTGAAGTTGAATCAAGCACTGCCCAAAGTCCAGTGCTCTTCCGAGCTTGGGAGGCACCACTGTGTCAATCAAGCTTGGCACCATCTTCAAGTCCTCCACGCTCCACTCGCTCCACAAATCCTCCACCCCGAGCATCAAGTCATCAACATACTTCACCTCACTGGGGAACGCGGTGTGCCATGCCAACACAAGGCACGAAGCAATGAGAATCAGCATGCCTGCAAGGCCCCCCACACGTACCACATGTAAGGCTGGGGCGCACGGCAAGCTACTTGCTGATCAAATCGAGAGTCCAGCAAACTTTGCTCCAAATCTTCCGACTGGGCAACGTTCCTTGGTGAGTTCACCATTGCAAAGATGATAGCCTCGTGGCCCAAAGAAATCCAAAGAAGGTCTTTGAGCTTGAACACTGCAGTGGCAGGAATGTTCAAGTACATTAATTACATCACAAATCGCAATAACTATCTGTCGTTTGTGAAGTTTGGCATTCATTCAACATAGTCCGCTGAGCCTCCCGACCCAAAAGTGACGAGGAGAACGAGGAGAACGAGTGCCAGGCCGAAGGATGACCACGCCACGAATAAGACCGTCAATATCCACATATATATTATACACTTCCTGAAATAAATACAGAAGTGGATGGGATGGCCCGTTGGATGACCAGTTTCCGAATACCAAACGGGTGGGTCAACTCCCCGTCCATTGATGAATTGTTTCAGGAGTGTAACATGTGTAACCAGCCCCAACACCTGGCCACTCGACGAGTGTGCAGTGTGCAAAGCTGATTGAAACCTCCAAAGAACACCTTTTGACATGAGGACGAACCATTCGCCAAGCAAAACAATAAAGTAATAATATAAAGTTCATCCATATTCACCCTCTACAAAAAAAGACTGACCAGACTGTGAGAATCCTACACACACATATATATATATATATATCAATATCAAATACATGCAGTTTACACTCAAATTACTCATTCCAAAACTCCTCCATCCTGGTCCAGTCAGCCTTTTTGACCTCTGCACCTCCACCTCTGGACCCGCTCCGTCCGCCTCCTCTCCCCGCAAGTCCAGCTTCGGCACCACCGGGGCGGCTCCACTGCGGCGACGGAGCCTGGGGCAGTTCGGCCGTGGGAGGCGGTCGATGAATCCAGGTGTCGAGGAATCCGGGTGTCGAGGAATCCATGGAGGTGTCGAAGGATTTGCGTGGAAAGGAGGTGAGCTATAGTTTAGGTGTCCAAAGCGATGAAGAGCATGATTGGGGGGATGCTGCTGTCTTGCTTCATAAGATGAAGGTATGCAAATTGAACAGTGACTCCAACCGGTGACAACCGCAGTGACTCCAACATTAAGTAAAAAGGTCTTGAAGAGTTGCTTTGTTGAGGAAAACCAGAGTTCACAAGTGACTGGTCTTACATATATGCTTACATCATCTCAGTTGACAGCCCCTCTGAGCGAGAACTAGATGTCGTTCATGATAAGTAGCCAAACACTTGGGCTTGTAGAAGAGAAAACTCCACCTCATTTTGTTGTAATGTTGGATGAAACTTTGGCCAAGAACGTTGTTGGATCTCCATTCATGGCCTCCGTTCAGTCACCAGCTGACCCTGGTCTGCAAAGCGTGCCAGGCTCACAGAGTTTGGATGGAATCCTCCATTCGGTTGAGTGCAGAAGAGAGCCCAACCTCAAATCAACAGTGTCAAGGCCAAATGCCTCATGATGACCTTCCAAACAAACCGTTTGTCCGCCTAAAAATGAACTATAAATCCCAAAGAATCCAATCCGTCAAATGCAAAGGGTTTTGTGGGGGGTCAGAATTGTCCAACCCATACTGATATCCTTTTACAAAGGTGTGCCCAGTGAGACCTTCAAAGCCCTATGACACTATGAAGGAGGGCACCTGTGACATCTGAAACACCTGGTGTCAAGCACTGCTTCAAAAGAAGCTCCGCAATGAGACTGAGCCTTTGGACCCCCCGGCGTTGAACTCGGTATCACTCCATTGGCTGAGAAATTCAGACTCTTCCAAGAGGGTGTGGAGCAACATCCACCAGATCCAAGCGTCCGAAACCCGAGTGTCCGAATAAAACGCGGTTTTGGAGTTGCTGACGTGTTCAACGTTAGACGGAGAAACATGTAGAATCTCAGGTCTCTTTATGTGGGGATTCTCCTGGTCCTCTAATGACGGGCCCTCCAATATTATACGCCATTGCAAAAAATCAATCCAAATCCCTAAGCAAGGGCCCAAAGTTGGAACATTACCAACCATATTGGGGTCAACATCGGGGTAGAGAGCACAACCCCTGAGAGTGCTACTACAGCACAGCGTGGCTCGGTGTGCATCATGTTGCTCTTGTGGAGTGAGCTTTAAATCATGTAAACAGACTCCCAAATAGATAGAGAAAATGATCTCGACTAAACATGTATTGGACACCGCGCCACATCGTGCCACTCTCTATTTGGGGAGTCACTGTGGTCACACCGGTGATTTTGGTCGAGCTCACCAGCCTTACCAGGGCGGCTGGTAAGCTCTGATATGCTGGGGCTGTGTGGGAGGTGCAGTTCTCGGGAATTGCGAAGAATGCGCTGCTAGTAGCTTCTTGTGAGTCAATGCCCTTGCTACATCTTGTTACTGGTAGCGATGCTACTAAGTAGCTTCTTGTTACTAGTAGAAGGGAGTCCGAGTTTAACCTTCAGCCAAGACGCTAACAAACACATATTATAGGTGATATTAATATGTACCTGGACCCTCCAACAGGCGATTCCTGGTCCCTGTTAGGGTGCCAAGATAGCCTGTTGGAGGGTGCTGGTAGTACCATGTAGAATGTGATGTTCCTCACCAAACTGGATGACCTCCATGGATGTCATGCTCAGCGAAGGCACGGAGGCACGTTCCCGAGCCTGGGCGGATCACGAAGGGGG